GGCTCATGTTATTTCTGTGCATATTCGGCATCTGGCTTTAGCACACACAGCATGCTTCCCCTCCTTTCTGTCCATGCCCTACCCTCAGCCTGCTTTCTATAATATTTGCCCATCCAGCGAGCGTAAGCAACGTCAGGGGAGAATGACAGTGCTAGCTACGGCCGGGGACAACTTAGCTAGAATGGGGTACATTTTTTTTAAATGTAATTTATTTATTTGTTTACATGGAGGAGGGAGTTAGGCCAGCATAGCAAAGCTTACTCTAACTAAAAACATGTTTTATGAATTATGTTTTTTGACATAACCTCTTTAGTGACTGAGCTTAGGGAGGGAATGTAACAGTATTTGATATCTTTTATTAAAACTAGTGCTGAGAGTACAATAAAGGTTGGGGGTTGCTTTATATCTAAACATTAAATATTTCATGAGAGTTCAAACTTAAAACAGGTTATAGGACCAGAAAACTAATGAATCTCTTTGTCCTCCGTAAAATAAAATGTGATATGGACGATAACCCTGCTTTATGAGAGTGCTTGTATCTGTACAGCATATGTCTTTCCACCAATTCCTGCAAAATTTTAATGAACATTTTGACCAACTGGTGTGAGAAATTACATTTAATTTGCTGTTTCCAGTAAGATTATGCTACCATCAATGCCAGAGATGAAGAATGAGAATTATCCACAATTTTGCCCATTTTTTGTAAAACATTTTTTAGACTTACAGATTTCACGTGGTTTCATGGAAAACCCTATGGAAGACAAAATGTGCTCAATTTTATGTGTTTCTAATTTTATTCTGTGTATTTCACACAACTCTAATTAGTACAAAGAGATTTCTGAGAAACGCCAGTTAACAGTTGTGTGGAAAAGCTGTTTATTTTATTCAGAAAAATGCAAAACTCTATAAGCTGCCTGACGCCTAAACATTTTGTAAAATTGCATGGCATTTCTTTCCACCTAAAATAAGGGATGCCATTTTCAATTTTTTATATGCCTGTCAAAAGATAACCCAGCCTAAAAAACACATTCTCAACATTTATCAGTTCTGACTGATATTCTCCTATTGAATTGTGCATGTGTTTTAAACGCTATTCCAAGACCCATCTATGCATGCCTTGGTTTTACACAAAACAAAAAGCTCACCAAATGTACTGCAAGGTTGCCACCTTGTGGGCAACCTTTAAAATTGCAAGATTATGGCCGATGTAATTAATGCCCAATGAACTACTGAACTCAATACAGGCACCTGATTCCGGTGTTATAACTAATGATCACTCATATGCATGAGATATAGGTGAAATTTAAAATACGACTTCCTGTCATATTAAATATTGTGAAAACAAGTATTCTTAGCAGTGCGTACTACAAATACATTAAGGAAAACTACAAGCAACATAACCACTACCGTGTGTGTTCATTTAATGTGTGATTCATGTTTGAACCATTATGCTAAATTTAAGTTTCGGGATACATTTATTCCTCTTTGCTTTAGACAACAGAATGATTGGAGCCCTTACTGTGTATACCACAATAGATGGATGTTGTTATTATCATTATTGTTATGTTTATTCTAAACGTTTCACACCTGTATTACTATATTAATTATACATGTTAGGTATTTAGATGCCTAAACGATGCAATGATTATCTCAGAAGAATTGCATGAAATGTACTGGAGTCGAGACAGATGGGTGATGCAGTAAATGGCTTAAGCAGAAGCAGTGAGAACTCTGTAGTTGTTGTGCTACCACAAACTGACGACAGACAACAACAGCAGAACTCTCGCTAGATGTCTGCTGGTTTTAATCACCACTTTTCCTGTTGTTATGATATCCAGTTGTCCAACGCCAGTATCGCCTTTGGACTCAGCTCCACATACAGTGCTGGGCAACAATCTTTGAATCCCATGCCATTTATTTGGACAATTGATTCTATGCACAGAAAGGATTACATACAACTATAAACTTGTGTGCACTTTGCAGGGGTCTGGGGCTGCTACAAATAGACAGCTTGTTGTTAATTCCATTAAGGTGAAGAGTATACCTTGGTATCTAGTTACCAGCAACATACAAGCCATCGCTGTCCCTCCAAACAGTAACCACAGATATACCAACAATTGCTATGAAGCCAGGATTGGGAGGTGTTTGTGGAGTGATTCCTACAAACCAGAAAAGTATAATAAATACCAATGAAAACAAAACAACTAAAAACACTAATATAAAACAAACAAAAATAATAATTAATATCCATGTAACACAATATTTGGAAAGCTGCATACCACACAAATACACACTAAACTATGGTTAGAATAAAAAGGAAAGCTGCATGGTCGCGCTAAAGTTATCATGGATCATAAAATATATTTGTTAACTATGTTAAAAACATAATAATAAACAAATGCAATATACCGCTCAATAAATCCTAATGAGGTTATGTACACATTTCTAGGGGTGACAATCGTATTTAAACACTTATGTTAGATAGAGCTTCTTGACTCTATCTTGATGTAAACTGCAATGATATCTTATGTGACATTTCTCTTATGTTCTCTTTGTTATCTTATAACCAACTGAGAAAATTATAACACGTTCAGCAGCAAGATATTATACAAATACAATATATGCCTATATTAAAAAAAACAGTCTTTGATAAGTGGTTGGATTTTCCTGGGAGAATTTAAAGGGACATTATAGTCACAAAAACAACTTTAGCTTAATGAAGCAGTTTTGGTATATGGAACATGCACCAGCAGTGTCACTGCACAATTCTATGCTGTTAAGTAGTTACATTACTTTTGGTTTTGTCCATGCAGCCCTAGCCACTCCTCCCATAGGCATGACTGACACAGCCTGCATGAAAAAAATATGGCTTTGTTTTTAATCAGCTGTTAACTTGCTTTAGAAGTTTTTATCTCCTGCTCTGTAAATTGAACTTTAATCACATGCAGGAGGCTCCTGCAGGATCAATGAGGATATTAACAGTGCAGAAGATAAGATAAAGACACTATACAATGAAGGAAGTTTAAATATTCAATCTTTATTTACATGAAGTGTTTAGAAAGGCTGGGCAAGTCACATGCAGGGGGTGTGGCTAGGGCTGTATAAACAAAGTGAAAAGTTATTTAACTCCTAAACAGTAGAGAAGTGAGCAGTGAGACATGATCTATACACCAAACCTGCTTCATTAAGCTAAAGTTGTTTTGGTGTCTATAGTGTCCCTTTAATCCAAAATGAAAAAAAATCCTCCATATGTGGGGAATTGTGGTGTTTTAACACAAGGATATAAATATTCCACCAGCACAGGAACAGTGTTAACTCAATAATGGTAGGTGTTAAAAATAGCGTTTCAAATCCAATATTATTATCCAGGTAGCAAACACTTGCCTGCAGTCGCCAGTACTATCCAGAAAGTAAGTGAAGACTTCTCCCCCTGGAAGGTCTAAAGGACCTCGTTATAGATATGCTATGTCCAAACAAAGTATAAGTCTCACGAACGAAAAGGAGATATGTAGATATCAAGTGCTAATATGATAAAATTGGAGAGAATTCCGCCTCAAAAGCTGCACTTTACTGCAATACTGCTTCAAGAAATGGAGTAGGACTGCTGAGCAAAAAGCATGATGGTGGAACAGGGGATCACAATCCAAATAGTTGATAGATATAAGTAAAACACACTTTAGTTACAGGGGCATAGAGGCCCTCTAACTGCTTAATGCCATTTAAGTAGTTACAGTGTTTAAAGTGCCCTGGTGCCATCCTTCCACTTATCCTTAAACCATTTCTAATGTTTAAATGCTAAAGAAGAGTCCCATCCCCTATGTCCTGCTTGGGCTTTTGGAGGAAGCTTTAGCCCGAATATCAATGTAAGGCTGTAATTGGCTGAAAGTATCAGCTGGCTATTTTCAGCCTATCACAGCACTTATTCATGGTATAAATGGATGTGGCTAAAAGGAAATGTGTAATCTCTGCCTTAGCTATACTTCCAGCAGGGTGGCCAGTGACCCTTATTTATCGTTAGACTGTTAGACATTGAATGAAGGGACAGTGCCACGGGACTAAAGAACCTATAACCAATTCAACAGTGTTATAGCCAAGAGCCCCCACAGCTGCAACTGTATTTTAATATACCTATATTTCAAAGTATGATGTCATCTCCAAGATTTATGGTAAATAATGGGAATCTCAAATCTTTATGAATTGCAATATATAATAACCACCTGGCAAAGCATCCATATGTCAAGCTCTTTTTTTACTCTCTCTTTTGAGTGTTTGTCATTATATGGTATTGGATAGCCAACTGATAAATATTACACACGTGTTTTAGGGCAATCCTTTACATAACATAAAATGATTTAGCAATTCTTGTTATATTCGCTTATTTAAAGGATATTTTATGTAGGTGTTTTATTTTCTTTATATACAGGTTTTAGTTTGTATTCAATTTAGTTTTAAAACATTTTTTTTTTTCCTTAATCATCATGCAGGGTCACCATTCCCTGGCATAAACCTAATGAAAATCTATCTCTGAATGATACCTTAAAGGTCGTATGATGCATCCCAAAATCATAAATTGCTAGATTATTAGCAGAAATTGCTATACATTGAACTCCCCCACTATTAAGGTCAGGTACTCCTGCCAACTACATGTAAATTCGAGCTGCAGTACCTGTGATAAAATACCCAGCTTGCAAGCACGACTACCAATCTCTCCCGTTACAACTAGCGTACAAGACACAGTTGCAAATTGCAGTGCATTTGGTGTGATCTGAGAGCTTCTTTTACTAAATTATGTTTGATAAATCTTATAATAGTGAAGTCAAAATTCTCTGGAACTTTTTCCCTATTATCTCGATGTATATTTGAATCACGTTGCTTCAAACAATAATATGCATTCTGTTTCTTTGTATTTCTTATTGGACAGCTTTACTATTCCTTCGCTGTCCCAGAATTCCACATTGCGTGTCCCCTATGACAGCACCTCTCGAGACAGAGTGACAAACGTTGACGAGAAAATGATAGAGGCCCTGAATGATTCCGCGTTGGACGCAACCCCTGGAGCGGAGAGAGTTGGGAGGGCGTCAGAGGGAAGAAGAAGGAGAGACATCTTGTATCATCGATCTTCCTTAAATACTCACAGCTGTGACAAAACGAGAGGAACAAAATGATGATGAATGAGTCAAGTATCTGGTGTTTACCTGGGACATTCCACCAACCCTTACGCTGCCACAGGCCACCACAAAGCTTTGGCAAACAAACTGTGCATAACGATCAACAGACTGAAACAACAAGCCTCACAAATTGCAACTCTTCATATCTGCACCCTGTAATGAAATCCCCTCTGGTTATCCAAAATTAAAACAGGCAGTAGATCAGTTTTGAGTACGTCATTTAGAATAAAGTGGATAATTTCGGTAGAAGAAGAAGAAAAAAATAGCTCTCCATCATTTAGGAAACCTGTCTAGAAGGAATATGATGAATTTCCATTGCTCTGTTTGCTCGGAATGTGCAAATAATTGCAGACCTGACAGTTTCTGCACAATTAATCAAATATACACATTATAGATATAATCAAATATGTCTATGGGTTGGTTTTTTTTTTTGGTGTTGTTCTGTCACCAGCTAGAAACAATGTCTGCTTAAATAAAACAAATGTGGGAAAACGTGAAACACTGACGGGGTTATTTACTAAACACCGGATTTAGTGCAGATGGTCAAAATCTGCTGAAAATTACAGAATTCCAACTGCAAAGGCAAGTCTCATATTTACTAAAGCCAAATACAGAATTCAGTCGGCCTGAGTGAATCTGCAGCAATTGCACGGGTGCATTTGTTGTCCAGATTAAATTATTACTTTTGCATACTATATGACTATAGTATATATTTGATATTCACAATGCACCGGTTTATAAAATCCATGACCAAATGCATCCATCTATAATGAAAAGAAAAACCTCCGCAATGCGAGGGTTATTATGTGGCAGCTGGCTAGCGCTTGCTAACCAGCTGCCACATAATTATTATTTTTTAAATTAAATAAATAGAAAGCCTACAGGGCTCAATATGAACCCCATATTTCTGTAAGGCGGGTATTTCACCTACCTATGTCATCACCTGCCACATGGCATGTCTACTAAGCTTTTAAACATAAGTAAGACAAAATCAACAGACATCATTTTTTGTAGCCGTAATGCTATATAAATGTTTTTCTAATAAATTAGCAGCCCATGACAGCTTCCTCCCCCTGCTACCTACTAAGTGTTTGTGTGGATTAATCTCAGATGTACAGCCTGTTTCTTTAATGTTTAAAAACTGATATTGTGGGAGGTACCAATAAACATATGCTCTTATTTTATTTATATTTTATTTTTTTAATTTTATATTCTAACAGGACAGTGTGTTAAAATGTATATTTCATCATGGCTGTGTGTCTAGAGGTGTGTGTTTGTCTGCTAGTTTGTATTTGTTGTTGTCTCACATTGTATCCATTTCTGTCCATTTCTGGCAGTGTTTATCCATGCTTATGCCATTTCTCTGCATAAGCCCAAGTGTGCATGTACTGTATTACTAATGCTGTAGTGTCCTAGTTGCAGATTAGTCTTAGGTCCCCCAGCTAACCTCCCCTCCCCTTTTTAGTAAAAACCTGAAAAACAAGTTTTTGGTTTACCTTTTCTCCAGTGTCAAGACCCTTTCTGTTGCCAGCTTCTCTGCCTCCCACAGTATCATTTGGCTACATTGCACTCACAGTATACCATACAAAATACATCTCTGTATTGCCATATACTCTCTATATTCCACAATTAGATCACAATACACCATTTTAAGTATATAAAAGTTCTAAAAAAAAAATTTACATTGAAGTGTAGGAACACTGAAAGCTGAGAATGGTGTGATAGTTAATGAAGACCAGGAAAAGGCAGACATTTTAAATAACTAATTTTCCTCAGTATATATTAAGGAGGAACCTAAATGAATGAATGACTCAAGACAAGGTGTTGCAGTAACTAAAGAGTAAATTTAAACAAAGCTCCAGGGCCTAATGGAATTTACCCAAGAGTACCTAAAGGGACACTATAGTCACCGAGAACACTTTAGCTCATTGAAGTGGTCTGAGTGCAGTGTCACTATGCCACTTAGTCCTGCAATGTAAATCATTGCACTTTTTCAGAAACTGCTATGATTACCTTGCAGGACTAAGACTGCCTCTAATGGCTGTCAATCAGACAGTCACTAAAGGCACTTCCTGGATTCTAACGACTCCAGGTTGCCTAAATGATGCTAGATGTCCTCTCATTCTGCATGAGGACATCCAGTGTCAGTGAAATCCCCATAGCAAGAAAGCAAAGGCAGATGTGGTTGCTATCAGGGCCGAACTGGCCCACCTAGGGCGCGCTGGCCTAGTTTTTGCATGTAGTGCCTACATGGCCTGACAGGAAGTCCTCTAAGTGAGTACTGAACTGCTTCATATCAGACCGGACAAACTACAAGAAGATACAGGAGGTAAGAGGGAGGGAGACACATGGAAAGGCTGGGGGGAAATGAGACACATGGAGGGTTTTTTCTTAATATGTCAAGGTAGTTGGACTGAAACTTTGATTACATGCAAATACACATTTGCTTAAAAAAGAAAAAAAAATACTATTTTGTTTACTTCAAAGCCCTCTGAGTGTTTTCTTTCATGTTAGAGTAATGGTCTATAGTTTTCTTTTCCGCCTCTATATCTGCACACTATGCTTGTGCAACACATTTTTGGGCTGGTATACAATTTTTTTCCAGGGATGCTTTTTGTTCCCAATCCAACCTTGGTTGCTATATTCAAAAAGGATTCAAAATCTTTGCCTGGAAATTATAGACCTATGAGCTTAACTTATGTGGCTGGGAAAGTCTCTGAAAGGTTATTAAGGGTTAATATTCATGAATACATTGGGAAGAACTTTGTTATTAGCAAAAAGCAGCATGAATTATGACACAAAGGTTATGTAAAACATACTTAATTGCATTCTATGAAGAAGTAAGTAGAAGTATAGATCGGGGTGTTACAGAGGATGTGATCTACTTGGATTTTGCCAAGGTGTTCAATACGATTCCTCAATATAGGTCGGTGTCCAAACTAAAGGAACTTGGTCTACATGAAAATTCTTGTTCTTGGGTAGACCATTGGCTTAAAAACAGAGTACAGAATTGTCATTAATGGTAAATGTTCAGAATGACAGAATACTCTGTAAAGTAATAGACTGTGAGCAGGATATTGCTTTGCGCCAAGGGTTTTAGATAGATTGGGAGACTTGCACTCAAATGGCAGATGAAAGTTAATGCTGATAAATGCAATGTTCTGCACTTTAGGATAAACAATGTAGTAGCAATGTATACCCTAAACGGTAGTGAATTAGGGATAATACACACAAGAAAAATTTGGGAACTGTTATAGACAACAAACTAGGCAACATGTATAAAAAGGGACATTAATTCTCTGGATGAAAATAATTTTGCCTCTTTATAAGATCACACCTTGAATATGTTGTGCAATTTTGGTCACCTGTTCTAAAGAAGAATATTATATTACTAGAAAAAGTGCAAAGGTCGGCTATAAAATTAATAAAAGGAATGGGAGATTTTAGTTACGAAGAAATTGAAATTACTTTGTTTAGAAAATGACACCTCAGAAGGGATGTGATAGCAATATACAAATATATTCGGGGCCAATACAAACCATTGTATGAAAATCTATTTATAAACAGGACTATGCATAGGATACGAGTTCACGCAGTTAGACTGGAAGAAATTAGATTTAGTCTAAGGAAAAGGAAAGGGTTTTTTACAGTAAGAACAATAAGGATGTGAAATTCTCTGCCTGAAGAGGTGGTTTTATCAGAGTCTATACAGATGTTGAAACAGCAACTGGATGAATACTTGCAATTTAGGAATATCATTTTTTATTTGTAGGGTAATAGCTTCTTGAACCAAGGAGAGATGTGACTGCCATTCTGGGGTCAAGAAGGATTTTTTTTCCTAGTTTGTTGCAAAATTGGAGAGGACTTCAAACTGAGGTTTTTTTTGTCTTCTTTTGGATGAATAGCAAAAACAGATATGAGAAAGGCTGAACTTGATGGACACGTCTCTTTTCAGACGTTGTAACTATGTAAGGATGAGTGTTTTGGTGAACAGTCTTTTAGTTTTTCAAAAGCCTCTTGTACCTGCGTGGACCACAGGAACTGATCTTGTTTTCTGGGTGGCAGCAGTCATGGGTGCAGAGACCTGTGAAGAAGTAGGGGCGGTGTCTTGGGTTGCAATGGTATCTGTATAGAGTCAGCCAGGAATTGTTCCCAGAAACAACCACTGGCACCAGAGTCAATGATGGCCAGGAGCGGACTGACCACTCAGGCACATCGGTCATGGACCGAGGGCCCGAGTCAGTCAGGGGGCCTGGCAGCACAGTCATGCTTCTGCTGTGGAGATTAGAGATCTCTACAGTCAGAAGGAAGGTTGCAGGGGGCCCATAATGCCTTGAAGGGCCCCTGCAACCCATCACTCTGCAAACAAACCCCCCTATCCAGTGAGAAACCTGGCAGCATACCTTGCTCTCACTGCCAGGTCTCCTCTCTCTCTTTCTTCCTGCCCAGTGCTCTGTGTGAGGATGGGAGGCGGGCAGGAAGTGACATCACACCCCCTGCTTCCCTCTCACACGGAGCACTCACAGCATGGATGGAGGGTGAGAAGAGGATCCTGCCTGCCCCACAGCTGCTTGAGGAAGAAAACTATAAGATTGGTACAGGTAAGCAGGCCCATACACACACTGCCCCGCCACACACATACACTGCCTATCCATATACACACACACTCTGCACATACTGCCCTCCTACACACATTCACTGCCTACCCATATATATACACACCCACACACATACACTGCCCACCAATACATACATACACACACATACACTGCCCACCCATATATATATACACACACACACACACCACACACTGCCCCCTACACACATACACTGCCTACCCATATATACACATACACACTGCACACACTGCCCCCTACAAACATACACTGCCCACCCATATATATACACACACACTGCACACACTGCCCCCATACACATACACTGCCTACTCATATATACACACACACACACACACACACACACTGCACACATTGCCCCTACACACATTCACTGCCTACCCATATATACACACACACTGCCCCCCTACACACATACACTGCCTACCCATATACACACACACACACTGCACACACTGCTCCCCCACACATACACTGCCTACCCATATACACACACACACACACAAACACTGCCACCCCCCACATACACTGCCCACCCATATATACACACACACTGCACACACTGCCTTACACACATACACTGCCTACCCATAC